ACCAGGTTGACTTGCCCCCCACGGCCAGTTGGCGGTCGGAGAAGATAAACCCTGTTGCATGTGTCGAATTGTGCACAACTTCTGTTTTCACATGGCGTGACTAGCCGATATTGGGTGGGGACCGCACAATCGCGCACGTCAACTGTCTCTTTGCCTTGCACTCTTTGTCGGGTGCAGCCATAATTTCTGAGCAGCGGCGCGAAAGAGGAAGCCCCGAGGCACGCCGCTGCGTGTGCTTAAGGCCGTGTTCGCATACAGCGTTAACGATGTTCTTTCGAGCTGGTTTTGGCTTGATCGACAAGGTGTTGTTGAATTTGTCGCAAGGTCTTGCCGGCTGCTGGGTTCGNTGTTCGCATACAGCGTCATCGGTGTTCTTTCGAGCTGGTTTTGGCTTGATCGACAAGGTGTTGTTGAATTTGTCTCAAGGTCTTGCCGGCTGCTGGGTTCGCATTTGGTCAGAAGGGTACCTTCGACACCCCTCACCGCTGCTCCTGCGCTTGCTGTGACTGGAGGATGGCTGTACGTTTGGTGATCCGAAGTACATCATTGGCGCGTACGGTTCATGCCAATATCAATCTTGCCGACGTCACGATCCATCCTCAACAATCGTCATACAGCATTACCAACAGCTTTACGTTGTACAGCAACGATAAAATGCAAACACTGTTGGTCAACTTCCAATGCTGTTTTGCTGCAATGTATGAGCGGGCAGGTGTAGCCAGAATCAACCTTTTGTGCCAAATACCCTTCTCTCGGGTCCGCTCCAGAAAGCTTAGGTGTCGCCGGGCCACGCTGTTGCTACCCTGGGGGATCAGACGTGGGAATCCCTCATGCTGTTAGTGTGTTCTTCAGTGATTCAAACATGTGCGTCCGGCTGTGTTCCTCGGATTATTTCTGCTGAAAGAGGATTATTGCGTGTCTGGGATGTCGCCCGACGTCCGCAAGTGGAAAGCGTTCAATACGAAAAGGCCATATATATTTGTCTGCGTGATGGCCGGTGACAAGTGATATGGTGCTGGCTGTGGCGACAAGGTCCTCGCGTAGGACGAGAAGATGTTTGGTGGTGATAGGCCGAGTACCCGAAAGAGTCTACGAATCAAATGCTCGAGTCGGCTTAGGACGTCGCTCCCGAGAGGGAGCACGCGTAAGCGAGGTTCGTGATTTTTGCACCATTGCCGTGACATGTTCCTATTGCCCATCGTAGGGATGGGTGCCAAGGCCGACCGAGAGAGGCTCTTTTTCGTTCACGGGCATGACGTTCGATATTCGAAGCGGGTTGATTTTGTCTTCGGTTAAAGTGCTTGTGCTTCGGGTTGATTTTGTCTTCGGTTAAAGTGCTTGTGCCTGTTGAATGCATTGGGAGGGATGGCCGAAGATCATGATCATGAAATGATGAGGAGGGTGCCCTGGAGGTAAATGTGGCCACTTTCGCAACGTGGACGAAATACGTTCATGGTTATACCCTTGTGTTAGAACTACAATATACCTGCCTATGTGAGCCCAACTGCCTTGATTATCAGCTCACCCATCTTCAGCGTACCATTTGGACGAGCCTCGCGGCACGGCGCGACCCACCATCACCTTGTATGTTTCTGTGTTTCAACTTTCATGTCCCTGCAAGGCCAACGCATATCGAAGGGCTTACCGTGCGATTGGCAGTTTGGTGTGGTCGACTTCGCAGCGTTGCCGAGCGATGGGCCGATATTGTCCGTGTCCTCTATTCGAATGGAAACATGTTTCTCATGCACGTTTGTATTGGGCACCAGTG